GATGCCAGAAACTCATGCCTTTCTTGCAGAGACTCGCAGAAGATAGCAATCCAGCAATTGCTGCCGCAGCCTCTAAAGCAATCTTTGAACTTAAGAAACAATGGAAGATTGAGGAAGGAGATAGCTGGAGGTTTACGATGAACCAAAATACCATTCGAGAAGATGAAAGCCAACAATCCGACGACAATGCAAATACAGATTGACATAGTTATACAACTGTAGAGTAGGTATTCACATGGAGGCTTAAATTCTGTACATATATAAATTGCTGCATTCTTTTTCTTATCTTATCGAAATATATGTCAAATGATTCACAACGGCTGGGGGATTCAAACTTGGGACGTCTCATTAGCTACAAATCCTATCATGTTAGTAAACTACTTAATTTTGTTCAAATTGCTGTCTAGGGTTTATAGTTCAGAGAGTGTTACAAATTTATATAACGTTCAGTTTTGCAGAACTTTTCACCAAGGGACGTGTCCGCGCACCATTTTTCTCTACACAACATGTTTATTTCTAGCATTTAGATTAAAGAAATCAAACGAATTCAGAGAAAGAAGCGGTGTGTGAAAGGAGAAAAAGAGTCGGGTAATCATAAGGGTTGGAAATCCATGGATTCTATCGTCATGTTCCACAAGTTGGTGGTTTTGCACATGAATTGCGACTTGTGAGGTCTCTAGCCAGTTGTTCAAAATTATGGAGGACATTTGCAATAAAACCTTCGACATGTTTTATTTCAAGAGACAAGAGACCCATATCCCACTATAACATGTGGGTCTACTAGTTTCTTCAGTGTTGTTTGTACTTCTATCTGTTAGGGGTAATTTCATTTTTCTGGTAACAATTCGATGATTCAAGTGTTGGTCGAACTCTAGACCTCTTGATCTTTTGTAATTTATTGTACTACAAAGCCAACAAGTTACTAAAAAAATTAAAAAAAACAGATATTTATTAAGGTGTTAGGTAACTGTCGACTTTTTCGTTTTTGCTTTATTTTTTGTTATAGCACATTCGAGAAATAATAATCGCACGCCCTATTATTCCTTGTATATATCTTTGTTTATACTTGGCAGTTTTCTCCTGATTTACTCAATCCAACAGACCTCATTTGTCCTCTTGCACACTCCTATTTATTTTTGTCCATTAATTATCTTTCATTTATTCAATCCAAAAGTAAATAATCGGGAATATAAAAGGACAAAATATGAGTGTGTGAAAATCAGCCCCTTAAACATTTCAAGGAAGCGTTTGGTTGATATTTGTTATGTTTCTGAAACCCAGTAATGAACTTTTTGAAAGATATCCATATATTTATTTTTACCTCTTACATACTTCTTTTTAATTGTTATCTTTTAATCTTCTCCAACTCATTCGATCCAACAGCCGAAAATTCAAAAAGACGTGTGAAAGGTAAAAAATAATGTCTGGTAACACTACTCCTTTTAAAAAAGTTAAAGCAAACATACACAGGCCCAGGAGCAAAAGCAAGATATTATAGAACCAACTTTATTTATACAAAGGCCCTGCAATCACTTCTAAAAACCCCCCAATTAGATCCAGTTCCTTCCCTTTTTTCTTCGACTTTTCTTTTTTTCTTGTTAGCTTTTTTATCATGCCTGCCACTGTTGAGTGTCTGTTGACAAATGACAACCCATGTTTCATCATTCCCTGCCTCTCACTTTTATTCCAAATATAACAAGAATCCCAGGTAGCGTATGCATTTATTTGATTAACAATTAACAAGTACAAATTAATTACATAATACTTGTGCCGATAACTTTTACTTTCTTCTACGGGCGCGGGTTTATAGTTCATAGTCTTTAACGCACATTCCAAACCACCTTTCTTTCTAATCGTATTTCCTTTTCCAAAGCTGAAGACGGATCCCCGCTCCCCCTTTTTGATAAAATGAAGAAGAAAACATAATTTTTACTGTAAACCAACTTAGAGCTGAAGCATTCCTCTCTCTCTCTCTCTCTCTCTCTCTCTCTCTCTCTCTCTCTCTCTCTCTCTCTCCATCCATGGCAGGCAACAAGTTTGCAACCATGTTGCACAGGAACACCCCGAAGTTGATTGTAATTCTAGTCTATGCTGTCCTTGAATGGATTTTGATAGCACTCCTCCTCCTCAACTCTTTGCTCAGTTACTTGATCACCAAATTTGCCGATTACTTTGGTCTCAAACAGCCTTGCCCGTTGTGTACTTATAGAATCAATCGCGTCTTGGAACAAGGCAACAGCTCAAACAACTCTTACACAGATGTTGTATGTGAGAGCCATGCCACGAAGATATCCAACATGTTTTCCCTTCCTTGTTCTCCACCGTCTGAGCCTTCTTGGGGCTCCTTGGAGTATGCCCGGAAAGGAGATTCAGCTGTAGAGGCTGCGGATGATGGAAACAATGGAGGCGAGTATCAAAGTGCAAACAAACCCGATAGCCTGTCAACTCACAGTGACAATGGCTATGAGTTGGAGACAACGAATGAAGAACATGAGGACGATAGAGTGGCAGACGAGCAACAACTTACTTCGGATGTTTGCAGTTCTAGCTTCAGAGGTGGTGCAGTGGAAGATTGTCTGAGGTCTAGGTCAGTATTGCTATGTCAGAAAAATGATGCAGATGAAGACAACAAAGGAGGTTCTCTTGAAATTGTGCGGTCAGATTCTAACAGCTCGAACCTTGTCCATCAATCCTCCGATGCTAGTGCTACTAGCATTCAGTGTTGCTTTGAAGAAGACTACTCTCTCGAAATCATCCCCCTATCTTCCGAGAATGGTTTGATCGGTGCTCACAATCACCGGTTGATTCCTGTGGAGTTGATTGATTTTTCAACTACAGTAGACCAGGGAATCCGCAATGTAAAAGAGGAAGAGGTGAGAGAGCATGATCATCATGAAGTGAATTTCGCTTCCGACTCATACATCGGATCTCGACCTCAACTCTCTGGAGAAGCATCATTAGTACTCATGGTAAACGAGAGTGCAGTTAACACAAGTAATGGAGAAGTTGAAAGCTTAGATATGGCGAGGGGTTTTACTGATAACTCTTCTGAGGTAGACGCGGAAGAGGGAAAACAAGATTTGCTTGGCAAGCCATGTGATGAAGTTGTCACTGATCCAGGAGCTCAAACATTATTTGTTCGAATTGAAGAACCTGATAACAAAGAACAAAATGATCCACCAGGTACAGAAGAATTGTAGTTATTCACTAAATTTATTCGCTATAAGTTTATTTTGCATTCTGATTCTTAATTCCATGCAGCATCTGAAGAAGAAAGTATTTCTGTTGATCACATTATACCAAGAAATTTGGCAAGCACAGAAGTGGGTGACCGTGAAACTGATCACCCTCGGGCTCAAGAAGGTTCTTCTTCGACGTGCTTTGAAATTGCCAATGTACCTGATACATTCTCGGATCAGAGTGAATACGGTAAATCTCAAAATCATATCATATCTCCACCTATATACAGAAACTGATTTGATGAAAGGCATTTAGCACTACAAGTAGTGTAATTGTTAAAAAAGAAAGAGCTGGTGTTTACGGTAAATTTAATTTTGACAGGTTTAAGGCACACTGAAGAAGGTATACCGAAAGAGGAAACAAGTAAGCTCGAAAATGATCAAGAATCGGAGGAAGAGAAGATTCCGAACTCACCAACATCAGTAAACAGTCTTTGTTCCTTGCACAAGAAACCGGGTGAAAAAAAAGAGCCGGCGGTAGAAGAGTATTTGGATGGAAGTGGGGTCAGTGAGATGGAAGATGGAGATCCTTTTACAACGATTGGACGGCTCAAAGAAGCTTTGACAGCTGAGCGTAAAGCTATAAGTTCCTTGTACGCAGAACTAGAGCAAGAGAGGAGTGCGTCTGCAATTGCCGCCAACCAGACTATGGCTATGATAACAAGGCTTCAAGAAGAGAAGGCAGCAATGCAAATGGAGGCATTGCAATACCAGAGGATGATGGAAGAACAATCCGAGTACGATCAGGATGCCTTACAACTATTGAATGATTTGATGAACAAGAAGGAGAAGGAAAAGCAAGAACTCGAGAGAGAGCTGGAAATATATCAAAAGAAAGTCCTAGATTATGAGGAAAAAGAGAAGATAAGGATCATGAGCAGAATTAAATATGGAAGTGTAAAAAGTAGGAATTCTTCTGCTTCTTGCAGCCAGTCGTGGGATAGTGATGCGCTATCGATTGACCTTAATGTTGAATCCAGGGACGAAGAAAGTGGCTTCGGTGGCCTTCAAGAAAGCAACAACAACAACAATACTACAGATGATGCAGGTCTGAGTTTGGAAGATTTAGCTCTGGATTGTGTTAAAAATATGAGTGTTCTTGATGAATCGCTAGCAGGGTTCGAGGAAGAGAGGCTGTCCATTCTGGATCAGCTCAAAGCCTTGGAGGAGAAGCTAATCACGTTGGGTGCAAATGAGGAATTGGGCGATGACTTTAAATTAGTTGAGCATTCCCCCGCGTATAGTCTCAAAGACTTCGAAGAGAATCATGATTTTAGCAGTCCAGAGGAAAATGGGACGTCGAAGGGATTTTCGGAGGATAAACATCAACCCGAGGGAAAGACATTGGGTTCCATGGTAAAAAGACTGCTTCCGCTTTTGGATGCAACCGACAATGAAACCGAAGAAGGGTTAACTCATGAAGAACACATTGATCGATCAGAATCTATTGAAACAATGCGGAACTCAATTACCAATTTTGAGTTGAATGATGGCAAAATAGCCATTGAAGAGGAGGTGGATCATGTTTATGAGAGGCTACAAACTCTTGAAGCAGACAGGGAGTTTCTAAAGCACTGCATGAGCTCCATAAAGAAGGGAGACAAAGGGGTGGATCTTCTCCAAGAGATTTTGCAACATCTAAGGGATCTGAGGGCTGTTGAACTCCGCGTCAAGAACATGAATGATCCCGAGGGCGATGAAGTTGCAGTTGATTGATACAAGGAGAATCTAATTAAGAGGTAATATTCAAACAAGTTTACAACTCAGTTCTCTGACTTCGGAACAACCTTTACAACTAATACACAACTAAAAAGCATCAGTACTGATATCTGTGGAACAAGATGCGAGTAAAAGGGTTGTTCGTGCAAATCAAATAACACGCATAGTTAACTGTCGCCGTTGACTACTTAGACACGGATAATCTTGTGGGCACGATATCATAACTCAAGATCTTTTTTTTCATGGCGGCCGTGAAGACCCTTCACGGCTGGTCTTCTCCGCCACAGTAAAAATAAGAGCTCGCTTATTACCGGTACTAGTAACATCCCCACCCGTCCCCTCCACTTCTTCAATTCTGCGCTTTCGTTTCCTACTCTCTCGGCTTCTGACATCAATAATAGGACCCAGCTCCAAAGGATCCGAATCTTGAGTCCCATTGTAAACCTTTCCTTCCGCCTCCTCATGCACCACAACATTCACCTGTGTCACCCCATCCATGCCACTCAGCTGCTGCATCGTAACGGAGTGGTCTTCATCCTCCATGCCCACCGGGACGTTCAAGTCAACCTGTAAGCCTCTCTGGTTCCCGTCCAAACCCTCCTCCATGCCCACCGGGACGTTCAAATCAACCTGTAAGCCTCTCTGGTTCTCGACCGGGACGTTCAAATCAACCTGTAAGCCTCTCTGGTTCCCGTCCGCACCCCCCTCCATTGTCCTCACAGGTTCAACAGACTCAACCAAGACCACATTCTCAATACCTGGCGCCACTATCCCTCCCCGTCCAATTAGTCCCGCATCCTTTCGTGCCTCTTCTTCTACTACCCGGCGCTGGTTCCGTAGATCTCCCCGATTCCCACTCCCCTCCTTAACCGGGCAATCATACTTATCTTTTTCCCCAGGTGAAGAGTCTGTGTCCTCCACATCACCGTCACGGTTATTCCCCACCCGTCTGCTCGCCTGTTCCACTCTCCCTCCCCTAGCCCCCGTACGCCAAACCCCCTGCATCCCCTCGTGATGCATGTCCCCATCCCTTCGTGATTCCACTGTTCTCCCACTCCCTTCCCCCATACTCGGACTCTTAGATTTCCACGACGGTGATCGCAGAACAGTCCCCCGTAAATCCATACAAGCCTTCAAACCCTCATATGGCAGTGACCTCCCTTGTCGCAATAGTTCCTCACCCTCCTCCATTCCTTGCACTCCGCGCTTTACCTGTGCCTTACACACCCCACTCACATGGCCTAATTTCCCACAATAGAAACAATAGTTAGGCAATCCTTCGTATTTAAATTGAACCCAAACTCGACCTTCATCCGGAAACGTGACCACCATTCCCCGCATCAAGGGTTCTCGCAGATTAAGCTGAATACGAACCCTTAAGAACCTACCAATACATTCTCGACTAGCTGATCTGTCCACAGAGATCACCATACCAATCCCTCCCCCTATTACCTTAGCAACCGCAGCCGTCATGCTCAATGGTGGCACCTTATGAATCTGCACCCACATCTCACCCATTGACATCTCTTCCCACCGTGCATCGCGCCTGTTTGTACGGTCAGCCACCAGTACAAAATCATTCCGGAATGTCCAAGGGAAATCGGATTCTATCACTCGCTGCATGTCACGTTTAGCCACAAATCCGATCAGAAACCGCCGGTCACCTAAATCCTGAATAGAGACCCCTTCCGTCCCCCACCACAGTGATGTGAACCGGTTGATGAAAGCCTCCACATTCACAGTCCTCTCAGTTAATACATCTGCCAGTAGGGTAAAAGGAAACCCTATCAGCGCCTCTTCCACATCCTTCTTCTCAATCACCACTCCCTCCTTCTCCTTATCAGTAAGGAGAAGTTTGCTTCCCAAAGTCTGCCCTAGTTCCTCCATATTCCCTTTCGTATCCGAGTCCTCCATTAAACCCAGCCCACTACACAATCCCTTCACTTCACTACCTTTCTGTTCGCACGCAAAGCTGGCTCCTCTGTCACGATCTCCTGTCATTCCAAACCCTTGGTTTAGAACGCAAAATCTCCCAGACTCCTTAGCTCCGACTTTCTCGGACATAACCTCCTTGCGAGGACTTTCTCGAGTCATCATCTTCTTGAACTCGGTGCGCTGGACCTCCTCCATTGAGACCGTCTCGGAACCGTTCTTGTCGAACTTGTCGAAGTTCTTCTTCAGCTCCTCCATGGTGCCGGCAGCGCCGGGATCAGCGAAGTTGACGTGGTCATCGCCGTCGGTGTCGACGGAGCTGATCATCTTCGCGCAGTCCTTGAGCGAGTACTGCTTCTCCAACCGCTTCAGCACCTCAAGCAGCTCACTCGTGGAGATCAGCCCGTTCTTGGCGAGATTGTAAAGGTCGAACGCGTTGGGAAGCTTCTTGGTGGATCCGCCATTGATGATCCCGGCGAGCTGCCCGACGTCAATGTGACCGTCGCCGTGCTTGGCGATCTCAGCCATAATGCGCTGGACCTCCTCCATGAGCGAGTACTTCTTCTCCAACCGCTTCAGCACCTCAAGCAGCTCACTCGTGGAGATTAGCCCGTTCTTGGCAAGATTGTAAAGGTCGAACGCCTCGCGAAGCTTCTTGGTGGATCCGCCATTGATGATCCCGGCGAACTGCCCGACGTCAATGTGACCGTCGCCGTGCTTGGCGATCTCAGCCATAATGCGCTGGACCTCCTCCATGAGCGAGTACTTCTTCTCCAACCGCTTCAGCACCTCAAGCAGCTCACTCGTGGAGATTAGCCCATTCTTGGCGAGATTGTAAAGGTCGAACGCGTTGGGAAGCTTCTTGGTGGATCCGCCATTGATGATCCCGGCGAGCTGCCCGACGTCAATGTGACCGTCGCCGTGCTTGGCGATCTCAGCCATAATGCGCTGGACCTCCTCCAGTGAGACCGTCGCGAAACCGTTCTTGTCGAACTTGTCGAAGTTCTTCTTCAGCTCCTCCATGGTGCCGGTAGCGCCGAGTCCCGAGCCTTCCGAAACCAAATCGGTCTTTGACATCGCAGCAAACACAGTGAGAGAGACTTTCTAGAGAGAGAGGCTGATGAGAGAGAATTAGAGCCTTTCTGTTTCTGTTTGGTACTTTGCCTAGCAGTCTAATAAGAGATATATAGACAGAGGCAGCAACGTACGGAGACATTATTTGGTGACGTGTAGCTATTACATTTGTGGCTTCCTTTATGGATTGACCAGGTGATGACAATTCTTTTATGGTAAATAATGTTTAAGCAATTTAGAAAGGTTATAGGGTAAAATATATTTAGACATTACTTTTGACTTTGGACCAACATCTATTTACCTAATCTTTTTATATAAATTCCTAACCTGGGCTTTGTTGTGAAGGCCTAGATTAATGAATTGGTGCTAAAATATTTAGATTTTATTCATGAATTGTTTACTTAAAAAAGTGGGTACATGCACAATGGTCTTAGGTCTGTGCCTATATTGTTTAATTTTCTGAATTCTACAACATGAAACCTAAGCTTGTGTTTACATAGTTATCTTTGTATTCTTCCTTATTTAGTTATCTTTGTGTTTACATAGTTATCTTTGTTTTCTTCCTTATTCAGTCAGTTGTTTTACCTTACCCACATTTTATAGTTTTTCTTTCTATTCTTCTTAGCCAAAGGACACTAAAACACTAATTGCTATACTAGCTGTTAGACGGAATGGTTTCTAATGTTTTATAATGTCATGCAGGATGATCGATATTCTAAATGTATTAATTGAATGGCTACAACGTATCTTAATTAGAATCCTATGATTGTGCAAAGTAATATACGAAGAATGTTCTGAAAAGTGAAAAAGTAAAATAGAATTCTGAGGAAGAATCTGATTTGGTAACTGAATCAAGAGGATTATGCAAATTACGTCGTTATATTTTCTGCAGACAGTGGTGCATGGCCTGCTGTCTGGGGCTTTATTGCTGTACGTCTTTATAAGGAGTCATTTGTAATCAGAAAATGTGTAATGTAACCGGAAGATAGATTTTTGTTTTTGTTTTTTTTTTGGTAAACATTTGTTTTTGTATTTCCAGTCCACTATATGCCTTGACTGCCCGCAGCCTTTGTGGACCATTAATTGTTTGGCCGGCATGTGAGTGCATGCTAAGATAAGCGCGTGCTAAAGATAAGCCCTGGACCTGATAATGATGACTACAATCTTGCAAGACCGTACTGTGTAAATGTCTTGGCAGTTGGAGCTTTTAAGTACAAAAAGAAAAGCTATGTTTTTTCTTCTTTTTTTAATTTTTAGGCTTTTAGAAAGCATGTGATCAGAAAGAGAAAATTTAGTGACAGAAGCATAATTGATTAATTGAGTACCTTATGTCAATAATGCAACAAGAAGTTCTCTTCCCCATTAAGGCAGAAGCTTACCCGGAGAGATTTGCTATATCCTTTCACTCACATCTGTGCCTTCTATTAAATAACAGATTTACAATCACTGGCTAAGCAGACAACTGTGGTGGGGTCATCGAATACCAGTTTGGTAGATTGGTGCATAAGCAGACAACTGTGGTGGGGTCATCGAATACCAGTTTGGTACCATTGTGGGTGCATCCTCACTCCAGTGGTGAGTGCAGATAGCAGAATAACCCAAAATTTTGATCTTTTCCTTATCCAGAACCACAAGTATCAAAATTTTCCCGAAACATTAAAACCCACGAACTGCAAAAACAAAAAATTACCCAACACGTATCCTGTAATGATCTTATCCTAAGCCAATGTTTTCCTAGGACTAAACCAATGTATTGCTCCCCTGATCGTAATTTTTGAGTTAAAGATGATTTTTCGCTTACTAAAAGGACAACGTGCAGTATCAGCTTTTGAATTCTTAACTTCCGTGGCCGGAAGCGCATCTTATTGTATCAGTAGTTGAGTTATTTGCATGGATAAACATCACAAAGGTTTTTGGCACTGTGGAATGGTCCCAGAAAGGATGAGCAAAGGACTGTTGACGGACTAGGACTAGGGCTTGTTGCCCGATTATCGAAACAATTGTAGCGGCTCAAGCTTGTGAGATAAGAGAGCAGAAGAGAAGAGAGAAATTAATATTACTAAGGAAGACTTTTTACCTAAGTTTTTTTGTCAGAATTATAACAAGTTAAAAAAACTTGGCCCCCTAAAATTGACAATTTTTCAAAAAATTTCAATCCAATTAATGCATAAATGATAAAAACGTTACTCTCCCTCCTTTCATGAATCTTCGTTCTTGTATGTTTGTGTGTGGCAATTCCGGGGCCACATGAACTTGTTGTGGTTGCAGTTTCTCTTCTCAATTTGCACGCTACTCTGCCTTCACTGTAGACTGCCTATAAATTTGTACATTGTGGGTAAAGATTGTGAAGAAGAATATATAGTTGCAAGGAGTGAGGATGAAGCTCTTGGGAAAGCTCAAGAGAAGTATGGAAAAGATGCAAAAATATATCAGGAACCGGATGTTCTTGACACATGGTTTTCGAGGTTTGTTGCTTACGGGATTGCCAGTTAATAGTTTTTGTGAAATTTGTTTTCTAGAAACTCTGAAAAGTCCCGCTTTACTTTTACAATATGAAAGCTGCCTAAATTTTGGGTAGGTTATCCAAATATTACCATGTTCTGTGCTATGTAGAATATAAAAGGATGTTAGCTCAAGTGGTGAGTGGAGGTAGGAAAAAGAATTAGAACTAGGAGATGTCATTAAATAGACCTCGTCCAGTCACCAAAGGAAACAACAAAAGATTTTAAATATATCCATTAGAATGCTTATACTCAATCATGCTCCATGAAATCAAGAAGTTCTTGCGCAATAAGTTTCAAATTTGTGTATGTACTTGTGATGGCAATGGGACAATCTATTTTCATCCAGTGTGTCTTATATCATGAAATCCATGTTTAATTGATGCATTATTAATTGGTCTAGCATTTCCGAATTGTTCGTACAAAGTTTCATGCTTTAAAATTAATTTCCATGAAATTTACACACGGAGACTGACATTGTCATTCTTGGTAAGAGGGACTTTACTATTTTCTTTCATAGAATACCTAAAACTTTGAAGACTCTAGCCAACGCTTCCAGGATTTGAGATTTAACATGCCCTATTTTGCAATTTTGTCTTAACCCATGGATACAGTTTTAACGCAGTTGTTTGAAGGGATTATGAGACCAAGATGACTGTTTGTGTAGTTGTAATGGTACTTGTACATGATCTTTCAAACTAAAATACCGAACTAATTTGGTAACTTCTAAACCTAACTAATATCTGATTCATTATGTTTGGATTTGTAAGCAATGAAGCAGCATATTGGTGTATTTAACAAAAGAATGAGCATTGTTTTAGGTACGATAGTTTTTATTAAATTTCTAGTGTTTTCTTTCTGTTACATGTGGAAGCTTTTGATTTCACAATTAATGTATACTTGGTCTTTTTTTTTTTAAATCCACATCAAGGTTTCATATATTTGTGATGTTTTGTAGTTTGACTAAATATATCATATTTTCCTTTTCACAGTGCACTGTGGCCTTTCAGTACTCTTGGATGGCCAGATGAGTCAATTGAGGATTTTAAGCGGTTTTACCCTACAACAATGCTTGAAACTGGGTATGTGCATCCCAAGCTAAGCATTTGCCTGCCATCTGTCTTCGTTTTCCCATGTATGGCTGCATTTAATATTGATTTTTTGGCCTCCGTAAACCTCTCCGTCCATACCTAGCTCCTAGACACCTACTTCCCTCAGGTTCCTGTACTTTCCTCATCTCACAACCAATGGCATAGCCAGAAATTATTCGGTGGGTGGGCTAAGCTAAAATTGTTACTTCAAAATCAAATTTTTAATCCTATGTTGCCTACATAAAGTTATATAATAGTAAAAAATTGAATGTAAGAGCAATTCCACCCCAGTGGAAATTGCCCAGCACCAAGTCCAAAAAACAGCCCAGCCCCTTGTCAAGTTGCTCCAGCCCGCGAAAGAGCCTGGGACACAGCCCAAGCTGGGCAACGGGCCAGCCTATTTCGGACAGACCCAGAGACCGGCCTGTTTAGAAGGCGCGTGCAACACAAGCGCGCAGAAGCGCGAGTAGGGAATCGAGTTGCAAGCGGGGGGGGGCCCGCTTGTCAGCCCACTTGTGGAGAACCCGGAATAGGGCTACGTGGCCCTCCTCAGTGCCGTTGGATTTCCAACGGCTAGTTTTCTAGACCGTTGGATTTCCAACGGTAAAAAAAATTTAAATTTTACTTTTAACATGGACCGTCAGATCAAAAATCAACAGTCCACGTTCTTTTTACAAAAAAGTAAAAAAAAAAAAAAAAAAAAAAAAGGCCCCAACGGTCAGAAATATGACCGTTGGCCACGTGGCAAGTCCCTGGCTCTTGGATTTGAATATTTTTCAAATCCAACGGTCCAGATTAATTAACTATATTAAAATTCATTAAAAAATATTAAAAAATACAGAAAAATTATTAAAAAATACAGAAAATTTTAAAAAAATTACAGAAATAATTGAAAAATGTTATTTTTTTTCCTATAAATACCTAACCCTCATCTTTCACCTTTACACCACATTTCAATTATCGAAATCTTGGCTAAATTATTGTACCACGGAAGTGACACGTGGCGTGTCGGGATTGGTTGAAAATAATATCGGAAATCTATTCACAAAATAGTACGTTCAGATAATGACACGTGGCGTGACGAGATTAAAACTATTTTATTTTTTTATTCTTTATTTTAAATGGGTTAAAAATCTTATCCGAAATAAACTTAAAAAAAAAACACACCAAATAAATGCGCTGGGTGCCAGCGCATTTTTTTAGGGGTGGAGATGCCTTGGCCTATTACTGTTCACTCCAGTCTATTACTGTTCATTTGAGTGGATAAATGCGCTGGGTGCTGACGCAAAGTCCACAGGGGTGGAATTGCTCTAATAATTTGAAGCAAGAATTTTATGCTATATTTTCTAGGTTTTTAGCCTTCAAAGCTTTCAAGTGAATAAAATAAGGAACCATTTGTGATATGGAAGTTTTAATTTATTAGTATTAAATATAATATTGGTTAAAGTGATGAGTTTATTTAACATCTATTAGCTGTTATTATTCTTAAAAACAACCTTACTACTAAAAAAAAATTATTTGTTAAGTGGAATATGACAATTAAAAATCACAAACTAACCCAAAAATTAATATTTTTAAGTTTGAAGAACCAAACTCTCCCTATGCTATAGCCTAGGGGAGCCTTGTTCTTGGCTCCGCCCTTACTCACAACAGCAGAAGCAGTTTTTTTTTTCAAAACACAACAATACCAAACCAGCCCTAACCATCTTCTCTTTTAGGGATGCTTCTCCTAGATCTCATAAATTTTAGTATGGCTCTTGGTTTCTTAATGGACATAATTGTTTCTAGATTTGTTCTTCAAGCCCAGTCCATTTCCAATATTTGGGACTGTTGTCCCCTTTGAGCAAGGGGGTGTAGATTTATCACTAATTGCGATAGGTTATTACTAAAATTTGGAAGGTTTGTAAACTTTTTTATTATGGTGATTGGTGATTCTGCTCTCTCTTTTCTTTCCTTTTAGTTTTCTTTTCAGTATGATTGTCTCTTTATTGAAAATATTATTAGCACGGTTATCGGATTGTCCTTCTTGGATTTTTTTAAATATTTTATATTACAGATTGCTTTCAACAAAATTTCTGATAAGATACCATTTGCATTTCACAATTCATGCATGGTTGATTCTTAAATAATTTGTGGGTGAGAATTAACACAAAATGGTGTGGCCTCTGCGTGCCTTGTAGCAGAAAATGGTCATTCGTATAATTGGGCACTTCATTAAGCAAAAGTCAAGAAAAGCGTACCCAACACAAAGGTGAAACGTAGCCGTTTGAATGGAATAATTTGTTGGTTCAAAATGGTCTAGCATAATTAAGCAAAAAGTCAGAAAAGCGTACACAACACAAATGTAAGTGGTGACTCGCACCAGATCTGACGAGAGAGAGAGAGAGAGAGAGAGAAAGAGAGAGGATGGCGTGTTGTCCTAAATGTGAAACGTAGCCGTTTGAATGGATTTCTGTTACTGGAACTCCCAAACGGACATTCTAGCTGAATTGAATGCACAGAAATCTTCTTGGGCCCACAAAAATTTAAAGAACCATTAAAATTAAACCGAAAATCCAATACTATTATTTTGATTATTACAGAAAAAAAAAAAAAAAAACTGAAAGGCTTACGCCTCACCTTGAGACCCTAAACTACTTATACATTCACCTCTGAAAACATTGCTATAAACTACTGTTTACTACATTCTCTAGTTGTACTCTACTCTTATGTGTCTGATATTCAGACATATGAAATAATGCAATGATTATTTCACGGTCGAAAGATGTCGAAAACATTGGGGAATGTAATAGATCCTTTAAATACAATCAAGGAATATGGCACCGATGCTTTTATACAAAATTATTGCTTTTAAAAACAAACATTATTTTACTTTATTGCATTTTCAGTTTGACAAAGCTAGACGCATGGACGGATGGAGCTAAGGCCTCGTGGGGGCACATGCCCCTTTTTATTTTCTTTTTTTCTATTATAAATTACTCAATTAATCATTCTTTTTTTTTTTGTGGGCCATTGGATACACTGAACGGCCCCCTTGTTTTCTGTTTGCGGGCCACGTGTCCTATTGGACAAAGGTGCTGGATCTCGCTTTATTTTTTCTAGGTTTCCTGTCCAAAATAAAAATTGACTGATTAGGAGTGATAATGTTAAATATATTTTTCTCTTATATAAAGTCAATCTCTTGTATATCTTAAAAGATTTTGAACCTCCCCAAAGAAACCTCTGAATCACAAAATACTTTCTGAAACTGGACTCATTTTGGTTTCTGTGGCTGATAACATGCAGATTGATATTATGATATGATTTAGGTATTTTCTAGTATGTTGATGTTTGGCCAATAAAATCTCTAATAGGTCAACTAACCAGCTGGACCAAACTTTATATGTATGCCACTGGAAGGAAATGGAGCTTCAGGATTAGTCTTACCAAAAGCTTTTATCAGAATTGCCAAAAGGAAAAATCCTGGGCAGGGTTTTTTGGTTAGGTTATTTTATTTGTGTCATGAAGTTCAAGCTCCTAATATTTGGAGGAACACGGGATGAGTTGGGTTGTTAGTGGAATGAGTTGGTTTTATGGCTTCCCCTTGGGCTTCAGTATCTTCAGAGTTTACTGTCCAGCTATATTTTATTATGGTTGGAGTGGCTGATGTATTTTGGTATTCATTTTCTTTGCTGCCATGTAATACTATGAGGTACAGCTCTGTTTTGTTTAGCCTAGCTGGACGACTGGAACTTTTCCCCTGTATTAGAGCAATTCCATCCCTAAGGACTTTGCGCCAGCACCCAGCGTATTTATCCACTCAAATGAACAGTAACAGACTCCAATGAACAGTAATAGGCCAAGGCATCTCCACCCCTAAAAAAATGCGCTGGCACAAACGATCTCCATCCTTACAAAATGCGCTGGCACCCAGCCCATTTAAGATATTTTTAAATTTTGTCTAAAAGAATAAAAAAATAAAATAGTTTTAATTTCGGATAGGATTTTTAACCAATCTCGTCACGCCACATGTCATTATCTGAACGTACTATTTTGTGAATAGATTTCCGCTAAGATTTTCAACCAATCTCAACACGCCACGTGTCACTTCCATTTTACAATAATTTAGCCAAGATTTCGATACGATTTTCAACCAATCACGTCATGCCACGTGTCATTATCTGAACGTACTATTTTGTGGATAGATTCCCGATAATATTTTCGACCAATCCCGACATGCCACGTGTCACTTCCGGTTTACAATAATTTAGCCAAGATTTCGATAAGATTTTCAACCAATCACGTAGTGCCACGTGGCATTGTCCAGAACCTCATCCTTTCTTTTTTTGTCCATATAAACCCTACATCCCTACATCCATCCTCACACCAAGCTCAATCATTCTTTTTAGCTCAGAATCCTTGTTCATCGTTTTCAAATCTTAAGTTCTTATTATCGTTTTCAAATCTTAAGTTCTTATTACAATGTCTTCTTCAAGAATGGTGTATAAACAGTTGCAGGAGCAACAACAAAGGTTGTTGGCACAACAGGCAGAATTGGCCAATCTCGAGGAAGGTGGAAGTGGAGGTGGAGATGAGGCTTTCTTCATGGAGGAGGATGAGGATGATCACCATAGAAGGCAGAAGGCCTCACATTCCCGCCTTGTCATGGAAGTCGTGGGTCAGATAGCCAAACCAAGACGTGTTGCAAACCTCGATAGAAAAAGGGAAAAACGAGGTAAAAATCTATTGGAAGATTATTTTTATTCCCAATAGCATATTCCCTGATCATATTTTTAGACGGCGTTTTAGAATGCAACGAAATTTGTTCAACAAAATCATGAGTGATATTTGCAACCATGATTCATACTTTGTGCAAAAAGAGGATGCTTTTCATGTTCTAGGTCTTATTCCCGAGCAAAAAATTACGGCATCCTTGCGAATGCTTGCATATGGAGCATCTGCAGATCAAGTGGATGAGATCGCGAGGATGGGAAAAACAACTGTTTTGGAGTCCCTGATGCGTTTTTGCTCTGCAATTGAAGCCCTCTACACCAAAGAGTACCTCCGGACACCCACGCCAAGGGACATGCGAAGGCTTCTGAGGAAGGGTGAGATGCGAGGCTTCCCTGGCATGATTGGAAGCATGGACTGCATGCATTGGACTTGGAAAAACTGTCCAAGTGCGTGGCAAGGAGCATATGGCAACAGAAAAGGAGCCAAAAGCATCATTTTGGAAGCGGTGGCTTCATTTGATACATGGATTTGGCATGCTTTTTTGGTGTTCCAGGAGCTCAGAATGACTTAAATGTCCTTGCCCAATCCCCATTGTTCGACGAACTGCTGCAAGGAAACTCGCCGAGATGCACATATACCATTAATGGTACCCAATACGAGGGATCATACTACCTTGCAGATGGCATTTACCCAAGGTGGTCAACATTTGTCAAAACAGTGCCACATCCACAGACTGAAAAGGAAAAACACTTTGCAAAATGTCAAGAAGGGTGTAGGAAGGATGTCGAGCGTTGTTTTTGGTATCCTACAAGCTCGTTGGGCGATTATCAGGGCTGCAGCTAGAATGTTTGATGTCGAGGCTCTTCGATCCATCATGATGACGTGTATTATTCTCCACAACATGATTGTTGAAGATGAGTATGATTATGATGGCGTCGATGAATATGAGCCGGATCCGATGAAACAACTCAAGAACACGTATTTATTGTGCTCATGATGGGACCGAAGATCCAGTGCAACACGAGCCGTTGGAACGCGATGGACGTTACAATGAATTGATCGTTCAACGTTACACTAATGTGCAAGAGCCATACTGGCACGTAACCCGCCAGAATGACTTGATTGAGCACCAGTGGGGATTGCATGAAGGCGAAGATAATTAGAATGAGGCTTTGTGGTTGAAGAATAAATTGTATTTTTTTTAAGTTTTATGTAATTCTATGTAGTGTGTTTTGTTTTTAAGTTTATTTAGTGAGTTTATGTAATTCTATGTATTTGGTGAGTTTATGTAATTCTATGTAGTGTGTTTTGTTTTTAAGTTTATTTGGTGAGTTTATGTAATTCTATTTATTTGGTGAGTTTGTGTAATTCTATGTAGTGTGTTTTGTTTTTAAAATTTATTTGGTGAGTTTATGTAATCTTATTTCATGTGTTTAAAATAAAGTACAAAAGAAATAAAGTTTTAAAAATAAATAAAGAATTACATTAAAATTGCATAATAAATTAAATAAAAATAAATAAAGTTTTTAAAATAAATAAGGAATAACATAAAAATTACATAAGAAATTAAATAAAGTTCAAACCTAAAAAAAGAAAAAAACATAAGAAATTAAATAAAGTTCAAAAGAAAAAAGAAAGAAAAAACATAAAAAAAAAATAAAAATTATACAAAGTCTCTCGAGTTAGGATATGTGGTGCGAGGATCTTGGTTGTCACAAAAGTTGCTAGAACCCCCTTGACTTGTTTCCGCATCTCTTGCACGCCTCCTTCGCATGACATCTCTTTTTTCCGAAGTCCAAAAATATTTAGAATTCGGAGACAGTCCTACTAGAGACTTGCTCATAGTGTCACGATCTGCTTGAGCCATCCTTTCTTCTCGAAGCAATTCATTTTCTCGATGAAGTGCTTCTCTAACCAGCTCGCTCTCTCGATTAACTACTTCTCTTTGTCTCTCAGCTGCCGCATCACGGGCCTCAGTAGCTACTAATATTGCTGCCATAGCAGCAACTTTTTCCTCATCTCTAACCTTTTCTCGTGCCATGTTCAGTTCACCTTGGCGAGTAAGTTCCTCCATATATTTAGTGTAGTCATTCTTGGAAGAACTACCTTTTTTCTTTGACGCCTTTTTACCTACGGGCCTGAGGGACTGACGAGTCGGTTGGGTCTCGGGCACTTGTTCAGGCATCCCTTCCGTGTCTTGAAATGTGTCGGCTTCTTGTTCGGCCATGTCTGGTTCTGGAGAACTATGTAGACCCATACCGTGCATGACAACTTCTGGACCAGTTGCCACAATTTTGTATTTAGGACAATCTTTGACAATTTGCCAACATTCCCATCTAGTGAATGATTTGTTCCCGTTCTTTGAATTGTAGAATGCTTGAGCTTGTAGTGTCTATAAAAATGTGGGATAACATAGTGTTAAAAAATGCGGGTGTAACACAAATAAATAAATTCAAAATATTAATACGGGTGGAATGCATATAAATTACATAAAAATGACATAAGAAATTAAATAAAAATGACATAAGAAATTAAATAAAAATTACATAAAAATTACATAAGAAATAAGATAAAAATTACATACGAAAGTAAGTAAATCAAAATATTAATGTGAGTGGAATGCATATAAATTACATAAAAATGACATAAGAAATTAAATAAAAATTACATAAAAATTACATAAGAAATAAGATAAAAATTACATACGAAAGTAAGTAAATCAAAATATTAATGTGAGTGGAATGCATATAAATTACATAAAAATGACATAAGAAATTAAATAAAAATTACATAAAAATTACATAAGAAATAAGATAAAAATTACATACGAAATTAAATAAATCAAAATATTAATGTGAGTGGAATGCATATAAATAAATAAAAATATTGTCACCTGATCCGCTAAACTTGTCCCACTACGGAGGTTACCGGAAGCATGAGAGATGGCGTTTTTCCAACAAGTAAATGATGCGTTGAGTTTTTTCCAACGACCTTGAAGACCTTGACTAGTTCTGGCGTTTTCTCCATGTACATCACAAAACGCTTTCGTAATTTTACTCCACATTTCTCGCTTATCCATCTCATTACCTGTAATCGGATCATGAGTAGTGTGAACCCAACATTCACACAACGTAACATCTTCAATGAGCTTCCATAAAGACATTTTTTTCTCTTAAAGTGTAGAAAATATTGAAATGTAGATAGTATAGAAAGTGTAGAAAATATTGGAATGTGGTGTAAAGGTAGAAGATGAGGGTTAGGTATTTATAGGAAAAAAATTAACATTTTTCAAAATTTTCTGTAATTTTTTTAAAATTTTCTGTATTTTTTAATAATTTTTCTGTATTTTTTAATAATTTTTAATGAATTTTAATATAGTTAATTAATCTGGACCGTTGGATTTGAAAAATATTCAAATCCAAGAGCTAGGGAGTTGCCACGTGGCCAACGGTCATATTTCTGACCGTTGGGCCCTTTTTTTATTTATTTATTTACTTTTTGTGAAAAAAACGTGGACCGTTGATCTTTGATCTGACGGCCTAGTTTAAAAGTAAAATTTAAAATTTTTTTACCGTTGGAAATCCAACGGTCTAGAAAACTAGCCGTTGGAAATCCAACGGCAGAGAGAGAGCCACGTCGCAAACTCGGGGGGTGGAACTGACAGCACCTGCACGCGGGCCCGAGCTCTGAAAGCTTGTTGGGCACTCGCGCCACGGCTGCGTGAAGCGCACGCGCCAGGCTTCCTCCCCGGTTTCTGTCTCAGTCTCTTTTGGGCTGGGCTCTTGCCCAGCTCGGGCTGGGTTCCAGTCAATTTGTTGGGGTGGACTTGATTGACTGAGGCCTGGCTTGGTTTTTGGACTGAAGGCTGGGACATTTGGTCCCCGCTGGAATTGCTCTTAGGTTTTTTATCATTGAAAGTGAGTGTTTCTTACTAAAATAACAGAAAATAAGAATGTTAACCGTTTTCTTTTTCTTTTTTGTTAATATCTTCTGCTGAGCTCAGATGCACTGATTTACACCTTTATCAATTGTCGACTTATTTCACTTATGTAGGTACATCGAGGCCAGTAAAGCTCATCTTTACCACTCTAGTGGTGATTCAGTTGCTTCTGTTACACAGGCAGTTCTATTGTATGTTTTTTAAAACATACTTAAATTACTACACCCCTTCATGCCATTTGTGACCGAGGAACTCTGGCAGGTAAAATTGATTCACTATATTCAGCATTTGAGTTGAATTCAACTTCTCTACTGATAAGGTATTTATTATTTTCTTATGGGGTAATTATTAAATGGAAAAGCTTTTGCTTAGGATTTAGGGTGGACTGCTTGTTCGCTTTCATTGTACTGTTGGCCCCGATAATGTTTCAATTAAAATGAATGATTGCTTTGATACAGGCGCTCCCCTACCGAAAAGAAGCTCTTATTGTATCTCCGTGGCCACTGACTTCACTTCCAAGGAAGAGCAATTCGATTAAAAATTTTGAAAATTTACAGGCTTTGGTGAGTGGATATTCCATCATCCTTCTTGTTTAGTGGTCCATACCCAAATCCAAATGGCACTTTTTGCTATCTTGTATATTTTTCTTGTAGTCAAAAGTGGCTGATTAAATTACTAAGTTTTCTTCTTTGTTATTCTTAGACTAGAGCTATCAGAAATGCTCGAGCAGAATATTCTGTTGAGCCTGTAAAGCGTATATCAGCATCTATAGTTGCAACTGAAGAAGTCACTGAATACATATGGGTACGTATTCATTCTCCAGCAATTATTTTTATTTGGACATAATTATCATTACCACTAACTCGCTTAAATATTTATTTATATTTTGATGCAGAAAGAAAAAGAAGTTTTAGCTCTTCTCTCCAGGCTAGATTTACAAAACATCAATTTCACCGATTCTCCCCCAGGCACGTTTCTTCATCGATTATTTTCCATTTGGCCAAGGCCCGGAAATGTTCATGTTTATTGTCATTTATTTTTATGGCTTTATATGACCTGATGCTGAGGCATATATTTGGCGGATGTCTTTTATTTCAGGGAATGCGGATCAATCTGTCCATCTTGTAGCTGGTGAAGGGCTAGAGGCATATCTCCCTCTTGCTGACATGATTGATATTACTGCCGAAATCCAACGCCTATCTAAGAGACTTTCCAAGATGCAGACAGAATATGATGGACTTAAAGCTCGGCTCAGCTCTCCTAAAGTATGAATATTTTTAACTCATGTTTAAGCGCTTGGCAGTTGGCATTGATCGGAGAAAGTATTTTACATGTATTGTTCCCTAAGGATCCATTGACTGAAATGATTGGATTTCGAACCAAAATTAAATAAAAACCTAAAACATTTGGTAAGATGAGCTTAGAAATTTTGGAAATTTTGCCAACATCAATTCTGCCCGCTTGATACATCCATCATCTGGAGTTTCGTTAAATTTTTTGCATCTCGTGTTAAATGAAAACAAATAAAAGTGAGTTATAGTAATTTCTTGTTATGATGCGTGCATGTTATGTTGAGTCCTTTCTTTCTTTAGCATAGTCGTTCGCATGCTGTGCATGTATGCACACGTATCATACCTCTGACGATATCAGTTTTGCGCATGCAGTTTGTGGAGAAAGCTCCTGAAGATATTGTCCGTGGAGTTCAAGAAAAGGCGGCAGAAACAGAAGAGAAGATTACTCTCACCAAAAACCGATTAGCATTGCTCGAATCAAGTGTTCTGGTCACATAATAAGACCCTCAGTCATCTATGCTCCATCAGCTTAATCGGAAATATCCCACTGCCAGATTGGTACTCACTCGTCCCTGGACTCGACCCCATGGGATTTGCATCTTCTGCATTGTATTTAGGCTATATTATACAAGCCTAATCCACACAACCATAAGGCCCAAGCCTTCAATCCATTTCCAAATGGCTCATATTCTAATTACTAGACTAAAGCACTAAATCTATATAAAGGCCCTTGTGAATCTTGTTTTCCCCAATGTGGGACAAGAGTCTCAAAACTTCCAACAGCTATGAACTCAACCATAGTCTTGGCATCTTGGAAGTCGAACCATGAAACCCGGACAGCTCCGAACCAGACCGCCACTTTCGAGGCAATTTCCGGCCAAACCACGGCGCGTTGGCCACTGTGAAAGGTATAAATCTCTTCGTCTCATCGAGTACTACAACTTTCCTTTTTGATTCACTCAATTTCGTTGAGTATTGAAGAAGTTATACTCATTTGAATCTTACCCAGTTTCCGGCGACCACCGAGGATTTCGAGGCATTTTCCGGCCAAACCACGGCGTTTTAGATGTCGTGTGAGGTATCCTTCTCTTCGTATCTTCGAGGGCTACAACTTTAGTTTTTGAATCACTTGATTTTGTTGAGTTTTGACAAAGTTATGACCGTTTAAAGTTGGATGGTTTTCCAGCCGAATTTCCGGCCTTCTTCTTCGGCAAAACCAGGCCTCTCAGGCCGTTTAGAAAACCCCACAGGCCTTAAGCCCGTTACGCCTCAACCCAAAACCCCAGCCCGTTTCATTTTTATTTTTAGTTATATTGTTTTAAAGACCCAAAGGGCCTTAGGCCGGTTTTTGCTAAAGGGCTCAAGCCCAGCCTTTTTTGGCCTTAAGGCCTTCGGGCCATAGGTTTGTGTGGGTGTGTGAGTGTGCAGCCCGTGTGTGTGTGTGTGTGTGTGTGTGTGTATTTAGGGTATGTGTGCGTGTGTGTATATGCATGTTATGTATGCATGTGCATGTGCATGTGTGTGTGTTTGGGCTTAAGCCCAAACCAGCCCCTGTTCATCCTAACCCCTTTTAACCAAAAACCTTAGGACCCTAAACCCAAAACCCAATAGATCCGAATCCTATTTAACCTAAACCTTAATCCGAATCCAAGCCCATTTGGCCTAGTTGACCGTTGACCCCCGGTCAACGTTGATTTTAGGGTTGACTTTTTGGGTTTTCGTCCGGGACCCTTCTTAGGGTAATTCGACGTTCTAAATCCGTTTCCAATGTCCGTTTTCCCAAATTCAATTGCTATTATATAGTTTTATTTATTGGACTCTTTGTGTGCTTAGGGGCAATTATTGTGACGTTTCCGTCTTCGCTAGTGGCGCAGCTTTTGGCAACTAAGTACTGTGAGTGGACCTCTTTCTAAAATTACATGATTTTATAGTTTAATTGCATAAATGAATAGCATGCCTTACGAGTTTATGATTTGATTTATGATAAGCATGTTTATTGAATATGTTGATTTTCGTTTCGTGTTTTTGGTGAGGAATTAATTGTTGGCCTATATTGAGCTATATTTTGATATATCGTATTTTCTATAAAAACCATGAACTGGTAGACTATCTGATAGATGACGATAGGATGCTAGAACATGTTTTTGAAACCCCTCTTTATAGTATAGACGATGGACGAGATTTATACTATGAAGTAGTTATTTATGAGAGGCGTAACTATTTGTGCGTACTTAGTAGACACTATGCCGCCTAGGGTAAGGATATGGTGTTGGCAATTAGGCCGAGAGAAATAATCCCTAGCAAAAGGCTGAGGGACACGGTGACAGACATTGGGCCGGGAGGGAGTTATCTCTGGCTATGGGCACAGAGACTTAGGTGTGCAAGCATTGGGCCGGGAGTTATATTTATTCAGTGATCTTTCTAGCAGCACATCGCGCTTACGAGACAATTTATGAGACGTTTACTGTTTTGATTTCTGCGATGATATTCCGCTATGTGGCTTTTGAGATATTTTTGGCATGCTAGGATTTTTATTAAATCCATCATTTATTATGCTAGTAGTTTTCATTATATAACTGTGGGGGTTAGTTTCTTGATAACTGTTTTATTATTATGGTATATATGAACTTGGTCCACTCACCTTTGTTTTGCGCCCCCATTCAGGACTTAGATTCAAGGCACCTAATCATGACGTCAAGACACTTCCGCAGTAGCATCTTTGAATCCTCTCGATGTAGGACCTACTTCTTTATTCATTCAATTTTATCTTAATTCTTTTTAGTGATTAGGTTTAGTTGTATGTTTTGAACACGTTCGTAAAAATTTTCATTCATTGTATTTAAATTCATAACCCGTATTTATTTCTTATTCTTAGCTTTTGTATCAATTAATGGCTTTCGTCACCCTCGGGTGTCGGCCAGCACGTGTTTATCCTGGTATTCGGGGAATATCAGGGTCGGGGCGTGTCAGGATTCGAGTTGGGGTGCACCGACGAGCTCAAAATGCATCCAAGAAACCGGAGAAACTGAGAGAAGATGAGAGATACAAGATTATCCCAAGTTTCTAATCGGGACCATCGTTGTAGAAGCAGAAGAACCAAAACATTGAGTCAATGCTTCATATCTGCCCGCTGGCTGGGGATGTAGCAGTAGCAACCACAAAACTTTTGTAGGTTTTGGCGAGTAATGCATGCACTCCTTTTTTTTTTTTAATTGAACAGACGATACTGTTTGCAATAAGGAGGTGGGGAAGTGGGCTAAGCTTCACAATAGGCTAGCAATAATGTTCGCACTTCTCTTTTTAATTAGTTCAATTGGTGATAATATTGTAGCGTAAGTACATACGGAGAGGCAAACTAGTACTTAATAGGTAAGAAAATTGAGTACATTTACAATTTCTAACACTTTAAATCATGCAACCCTAAGAGTGTGATATTTGCCTTAGGTGAAATTACAATTACCAATCACAAGAAGCAATACTCAATCCTCCGGTGATATTCCGACCGAATTGCATCCAATTACTTATCTAAACATCTTAATAGCAGCTAAGCATTAAGATATAGAGACAGTTTAAACACAGCGATTAATAATTCAAAGTACAAATGCATAATATCATAAGCAATTAAATAAATACTACATATTCATGGTAAGGCTCGTGGCCTCATCTAGCAAACGGAAATTAGTTACGAATAACCATAAAACAAAATGAATTTTTATTGAAATAGAAAAAGGATAAAAAATACATTGAAGAAAAAATACAAATCGTCAAAGCGTAGCTAAGTTCTCCAAATTGATGCGTTCCCCAACCCTAATGGTTAAATAGCCTTATTTATACTAATACAAAATAAAATCCTTCCTAGAAAAGATCTTAGAATAAAACAAGAAAACATAATAGAATAAGATAACTAGAAAATACATCATATTCTAACTTTGAGAAATCTGCCCAGCCACAAAGAATCTCACGTTTCTGGATCTTCATGGCTCTAAAATAGACCCAAAATGACTCAAAATAAAGCTTGAGATCTCCCGAACATAATTGCAAAAGGCCTCAAACCCAAAAGACATCATCTTGGACGCCAAATAAGCCCAAAACGTCACTTTGACAACACTGTACGTTGCTCCTTTATTTCATCGCCATAAATTAATCATTTGGTAGAAAAATATAAAACTTTGATACAATCAAGTAGAAAGACTAACGAACATCCTTCAATTAGAATCACTCCATAATTTGTTTGATCACTTTTTTCTCAAGAGGAATTCGAATGTCCTCCATTGGAAATATAATTCAAAATATCAAAATTCTCACAAAATAACCAATAAATTATAACTAAGAATAGGGTAAAATATACAGTATAATATCAACTCACCAAGATGGTATTGTAATAATATACTTGTATCATGTAAGTCATTGATATTGGTCATCTCGTGATATCGATCAAGTGAGGTTATGGAACGGCTGTGATCATGGTTTCCAAGCATGTAATTATCCAACTCCACCAGTTGTGAGCAAGGGATGATGAGGAGAGGCAGCATCATAGAGGCTTCTGTTAAGTGTAGCAAACATGAGTGCTCTAACCGTTTGACAGGTGTAATAGATTGCAAGTATAAATTGCCATTTATATGTCTCCATCTGACAGCCAAAAGGAAAAGAGTTACAGTAGATGAGCAGACGAGGAGTTACAAACCTTCAATCTCCCCATCTTCCTCTTGTCTCAGAGTAAGAAATACATTCGTCTGAGTTGATTGAGATATGAGTTTTATCTTCTTCTAGCTTGTTTACTTGTGTTAGGTAAACAAGCAACAGGGTCGCTCCACATCTAGCTCTATCAATCAAATTTTTCCTTAGCGTAAGCACTAAGAAAGAAAGGGCTCTTAGACTACAAAAAGGTATACATGAAGGTAGTTTACTTGCTTATTTAGGAAAGGAATAAGCACTCAGAAATACTACTATAATGGACTACTCACTCATAGGGACACAACCGATTTGATATAATGCTTAATAAGTTATCCATATTATAGAAAATACCAGCATGAGGATTTCTTAAAAGGAAGAGGGCAATCAGATGAACAAGGACAATAATGTATGTATATAGGGAGAAGGGATTCGCTCTCTAGGTACTTTTCACAACCCTCAAACTAGGGACCAGTGCATTTGTCTTCCCTTCATCTAGATCCTCAGTTAAGTGTCAAGGTGAGAAAAATTACATATTAGAACCAAATGGACCAGAGGGTAAGAAAATCCCGTGACACTAACTTTCTTACATAATTTATGTTTCTTCACTCATCAAAAGGAGGTACTTAATGAATTTGTGCCTCATTTTTATAATATCTAGGAGATTTTGACAACAAATTATTTCATCTGCTTTCAGAATTTTCCGTATTTATATCTTGAACTATCACTTTTAACTCTTGCCTAATTAGTTTGTTGTTCATGCTCTTTGATTGTGGCATATTTTTAGCATAAGTTTAAAAAAAACTGCCAATTGTTCTCTTTTTTCAACATCTGTTAAAGAACTCGTCTTGTATCCTAGTTC